TTTTAGAATTGCATGGATCTGTGTTAGGCCGAGTACTTTTCAATCCACCCTCGTATAAAAGTACCATGTAGTGGCGGTGTAAGAATATCCACTACCTCATATCATCCCGAGCGTGTCGTAAGAGGCGACAGATTGAAACAAATCAAGAGACGGGCAGCAGCGTCTTCCTAATAACGACTAAAAATAAAAAAACTGCGGTTGCCAACTCGGTTGCCAACTCGCTTGCCAAGCGTGGCTACTGAGATAAAAATCCCCCCTATGAGGAAATCTATGGTGGAGGCCTATGTTCAGCAGTGGACTTTAATAGGCTGTAACGGTAACAGTATAATATTATAAGTTTTTATTTTGAATTATTTTGGGAATGATATACATTTAGAAAGAAATTTACATTTATTACAAGAAACCATAGGTGACCCTTACAAGTAGCTAGCTCAATGGCGGACTAACAGGAGGGGGGGCTGCCCGTCCCGGGCCTCTGGGGCCCCAAAAGCCTTCATGTTCCCTTGATCAAATCCTAAACAAAGCTTTAAAAATATGCTTTGTATGTATGTGAGAGGTGGTTTGGAGTTGGGATGTCACATACAAATAAAATACGAATAAATAAATACAATCTGAACTGGTAATTCACAATTTATATGAGTAAATAAAATTACTACTACTTCTAATCTTTCTAATGTCTATTCAGTTTTTGTTTCACTTTCACTTATGTATTGCACTTCGTATTTTTTACTTACCTCGGCTAAAGGATATTTTTATCATTATCATTATAGAAAATAAAGATAGTTATAAAAATAGGTAAGTAATTAAAAAGATCAACTTGATTTAGAAAGATACCTTACTGTTTTTGTTTTTATACTACATAATTTCGTCAAGATCAAAACACTACAACCATCTACACTTTTTACACGACACTAATGTTCTTTTATGCTGAATACGTCCAATACACTTGGAGAATTCCTGTCTTTGAAGCTGGTAATTCCCCGGGAATCCTTGAATGAATGAAGTGCAAATAATTCACTTTCGTACGCTTATATTCTACGTCGAATAACTTACACGACACAATCTTTCTTTTAAAATATATTATAGCCCAAGAAATCCTTCAGTTTATAATAAAATGGGACTTTAGTGAATCGTTATCCTTTTTTACATCGCTTATACTTCAATAATTCTTAACCATTTGCATCTCGGTTGCATTATGAGAGACTCGTTAATCTGTCCGTACCTTCAATTGAAAGAAGAGTTTCAAAAGAAATTGATCTCACTGAAGTTATTGAAGAATTCAGTAAAATGAAGGTACGAAAATACATATAATAAGCTATAACAGCTACATACTTACTGGACAGAAAAACTACCTACATGCATGTATTACTTTATTTTTGCTAATTGTTTTTTTGTCGATGGATTCGTATTCTATTTTCCACATCCATATCTATATTCTGTGTATGTTTATTTAAGTCGAATTTATATTTCACTTGCAAGATAACATAAACACTTATAAATGTGAAGTGATTTTTTTTTTTTATAGGAGAGGGGGCAAACGAGCATGCGGCTCACCTGATGGTAAGTGACTACCGCCGCCCATGAACAACTGCAACACCAGGGGAATCGCAGATGCGTTGCCGGCCTTTTAAAAAGGAGTACGCTCTTTTCTTGAAGGTCCCTAAGTCGTAGCGGTCCGGAAAAATCGCTGATGGTAATCGATTCCACAAGGAGGTCGTGCGAGGAAGAAAACATCTTCTAAATCGCACAGTGGTGGACCGCCAATCATCCAGATGGTGTGGATGGTATCGGGAGTTCTGCCGCGATGTGCGTTCGTGAAATTTGGCGGCTGGGATTAATCCGAACAATTCCTCAGAGCACTCCCCATGGTAGATGCGAAAGAAAATGCAAAGGGATGCAACATCTCTTCGCAGTGCCAATGAATCGAGCCGATCGGAAAGGGCTCGGTCGTCGACAATTCGAGCCGCTCTGCGTTGGATGCGGTCAAGTGGAAGGAGCTGGCACTGGGGAGCCCCTGCCCAGAGATGGGAACAGTATTCCATGTGAGGCCGAACTTGCGCCTTGTAAAGTAGCAAGCGGTGTGCCGGCATGAAATACTGTCCCGCTCTGCTGAGCACGCCAAGCTTTTTAGAGGCCAATTTGGCCTTCCCTTCCAAGTGACCACGAAACTGCACGTCACTCGATATGTCGACTCCGAGGATACCGATACTGGCTGAGGCAAGAAGGGGAGTGCCTTGAAACTGAGGAGATACGACAAAGGGGTTCTTTTTAGCGGTAAACGCGCAAACTTGTGTCTTCTGAGGATTAAATTGGACTAGATTTAGTCGCCCCCAATCCGAGACTTTGTTCAGCAAAGACTCGACTTCAGACACAAGTTTGTTCCGGTACTCAGCGACGTTTTCCCGAGAAATATTGGCACGGCCGGTGTATAGAGCATCACCAGTGCTGTCATCCGCATAGCAATGAATGTTACCAGTTAGCAACATATCATTGATATGCAGAAGAAACAGCGTTGGTGATAGCACACAGCCTTGTGGAACACCAGCGTTAATAGGCTTGTAGTCAGAGCATGCACCGTCTACAACGACCTTGATGCTCCGATCTGCAAGGAAGCTGGTGATCCAATTGCACAATTTCTCGGGAAGCCCATAGGAAGGGAGCTTCGAAAGAAGCGCTTTGTGCCAAACCCGATCGAAGGCCTTCGCAATGTCCAGACTAACGGCCAACGCTTCCCCCTTGGACTCTACTGCCTCCGCCCATCTATGGGTCAGGTAGACCAGAAGATCACCAGCTGATCGACCCCGACGAAAACCGTATTGGCGGTCACTAATCAGCTGGTGATCCTCAAGGTACCGGATGAGCTGGCAGTTAATAATGGATTCCATTATTTTGGAGAACAAGGAGGTGATCGCGATAGGCCTATAGTTGGATGGGTCTGAGCGGTCGCCTTTTTTAGGGATCGGGTGGACAAAAGCTGTCTTCCATGAATTCGGGACTACACCTTGGGAGTAGGAGTACCGGAAAAGACGCGTTAGGACCGGTGCCAACTCCGGAGCACACGTCCTCAGCACAATTGGGGGGATTCCCTCAGGCCCACTCGACTTCTGGATGTCCAGGGAGAGCAGTGCTTTGCGAACCGAGCGCTGTGAGAACAGCACATCCGGCATGGAGCACTCACACCGCGGGATGGTCGGCGGTGTTTTCGTCATCAAGAGTCGAGTTGGACGCAAAAAGGGAGCCTAAAAGGTCGGCTTTGTCTTTTGCGTCATGGGCCAGTGAGTCATCCTCCCTGTGCCGAGATGGTAGTGATGGCTTACAGAAATTCCCTTGGACAGCCTTGGCGAGAGACCAGAATGCACGGGTTCCCGAAGGAAGGCGAACTAGTTTCTCGCCAATTCTGCCTATGTGCTCTGACTTTGCCTTGGCAATAACTCTTTTGAAGGACCTGGAGGCGAAGTTATAGTCGTACTAAAGTGAATCTCTCCGTTCCGTTCTTACAAGCTAAAAAAGCTTGTAAGAACGGAACAGAGAAATTCTAGATCTACATCTTAGACTAAGGGCCTCATTCAGCTTTGCCGCCCCGGACCTCTGACGAGCTTAGTCCGCCACTGGCCAGGTTGTTTAGTTAGGTGGCTAATAAATATACATATTCTACCCGTGAATGTGTGGTGTCATAAGAGGCGACTATAAAAAAAAAATCCAAAATGTTATGGCTTCCGTTAGGTGTCGGTGTAACTCAGAGGTCCAATGTCTCGTTCATTGTGCGTCACGATACACGTAAAATGCCTAGAGCGGCGCCAGGTAGCACCGTCAAAGGAACGAGAGTACGAGACGTGTGGTACTGCGATCGCCAAACCACCAGGTAAGCATGGTGCTTAAGGCAAATCCTGCTATCGGGAATGGTAATCTAAGGGGGAGGCCTGTGTTCAGCAGTAAACTTTGGCGGCTGATTATGAATAGAATAGATAGAATAATTTTTAATCAATATATATTATTACATAATACTTATTGAAAGTCATTTTTTTATTTACTACTGGTTCGGAAAATACTTCTGTCCTGGGAAGTGCCAGCAAGAAACCCAGTGGCACTTTTTTAAACACTTTAAGAAATAATAATTTTATTGTAAAACTTTTAAATGAATTTTAATAGAACTAGCATGGTGGCGATCACCTCATTCACCAAGATTATTATCATTTATGCATTTACACTTTTTGTAAATTTTTTCTTTAATAAAACATTTAAACTTGTTTATTGAAAATTTTGTTTTTGTTGTATAAGCGTATACACTGCCCCATAAATAAATTACTAATTTTATGGAGTCTAGTAACTGGTATCAAAAGAAGATCTTGCTTTTGTTACATATAGTGTTGTTTACGTCACGTTCTTATTATATAAGTCCGTTACCATCAGTGTTACAACCCATCAAAAGTTCACTGCTAAACATAGACCACCCTCTTAGATTGCTTTATCGAGGGAATATTTGCCATAGTTCCACGCTTGGTAGGCGTGTTGGCAACCGCAGTTTTTTTTAGTTGTCATTAGAAAGACGCTGCTAGTTTGTTTTTCTCTATCGCCTTACGATAAGCACGGAAAAACATGGTTATGTGGATATTTAGGTATTTTAGCAAAATTATAGTAGCTTCGAGTATAGGAGGCAAAAAGGAAACCATTGCCCCTTCCATCCTGTGGATATAGTTAAATGTAACTTACGAGAGGGCCAAAATATTGTGGCCACCAATTAATAGGGATATAAAACCAAATGGATATAAAATCCATAGAGCGACGGGAAGCAACTTCAGAAATTCAAGTACATTGATCTCCGCTCGCCAGCCGTGGCAATTAAGGCGAATCTAACCTGTTTCCCCATAGTACCTAGGACCTAGCACTGCCTACATTTTTATTCTTAAAAAGCACTGCATGCATTGTTAAGGCTTCCTTTACCATTTGTTATGTATAAGCTTGAAAAGAGTATAGTTTTAATAATTACGAATATTAATTACCGGTTGCGGCTGTGCGGCGATATCTTTGACGATGGCGCGCAACTGTTCCGGGAAGCGATCGGGCCACAAGCAGCGGCTCAGCAGTCCGCCTTGCTGAGCTTCTGAAGCGGTAATCCGCCGCCCGAACACAACCAGATCGTTTATCTAAAATGAAAAATATGCAAATAAATTTTTTGACATCAATATAAATTTTTAAGAATTAACAGTTGCAATTAAACTCGATTGAATCAACTCGGTGAGTGAAATAATATAATAGAAAATAATTGTTGATCCAACAGATTAATCATTTATTTTTGAGCAGAAACATTGAAGACGAAAATTATAAATCTAAATAATTTATACACTAATGTTATAGCGTCGTATATCGCATATCGTAGTACCATCACACAAATAGGTACTCCTTGTTCATTAACATGTAAAAGTACGCGGCTGGACATGGGCCTCTTCTATAGTACTAAGGATTTGCCTTTGTCGTCACGCTTGGCAGGCGGGTTGAAAATCGCAGTACTAAACTTTGGAATTCGTCCGCAAACGAATTGTTGTTCTTTTAATAAGGTTTACATAATGGTTTGAAGAGGAATTTAAATTCGTATTATGGTGGAATTCATATGATGGTGAAAAACCCTCAAGTAATTTTCGTATAAATAATTAACATGATTTTGGTAGAAATGCGTATAATTCGTATGATGGTGGAAAAACCTCAAGTAATTTTGTTTGTTTTAACACTTTAAAATACTATTGTTATAAGCTATCTCTGTTGGGTTAAGCTAAGTTAAGCGTCCCATCGGACTTTGATAGTGAGGAAGTAGAGAGTGCAACTGTGCTTGTGCATAAATTCTGGCACTATAACCCCGTCCTGTGCAGATGGTTAATCGCCTTTGACACTGGACGCCTTAACCGAAATTCGGTTTGGAGGACATTACTGCTGTCATCAAAATCTCCCAAAAGTAAAATGACAAATTTGGATTCAAATTTTAGTAGGTATACATTTTTTAGATATACACTCAGCGGCACGGAATCTTGGCCAAGCGGTTATCTCGCGATAGCAAAAGCTTTAAGTGTTTCTGATGAATGTTTGTTATGCAGGTATGTCAAAAAATGTTTGCTCTCAAGTTCAAGAGGGTAATTCATTATGTTTAAGTGCACCATGACGAATTCTTTAATTTTTAGTTGAATCGGGTCATTTGAGCGACTAAGTTCACATTTTAAATTTGTGTGTTGTGAAAAGTTTACTGTAAGGTTATTCAATTATTGTGATCTTGTGTCTTAATTCAATAACTAAAGGTGCTTTAAAGCCAATAAAAATGCCATTAACACCAGCACAAGTTGCACAAGCAGTAGCATTAATTGACCAAGGGCTGACACAGCGTGAAGTTGCTATTGTGCTTAACGTACCACGGTCCTCAATGCAGTATTCACTGAAACGATACCAGGAGACAGGACGCTACACCCGCAGGCCAGGCAGTGGGGGCGTAAGGTGCACATCGGCCCGGGACGATCGTTTTATTGTTATGAAGATTTTGAGAAACCGCTACCTGACCGCTGTTGAGATACGCCAGCGGCTCCAAATCGCAAGAGGCGTTAATGTTAGTGAGCGTACGGTGAGAAGACGAATGGAGGAAGTGAATTTAAAAGCTCGTAGACCAGCACGAGGTCCAGAACTTCTCAGACAGCACCGAGAAGCCCGACTTCAGTTCGCAAGAGAACATGTCAATTGGACCCACGAGCAATGGGCTAGAGTGTTGTTCACAGATGAGTGTCGAATAGCTTTACGTGCTCCAGACGGTCGAGAACGAGTGTGGAGAAAAAGAGGAGAGAGGTTTCTACCCATTACCACCACCCAAACTGTGAGTTTCCATGGAGGATCAATAATGGTATGGGGAGGTGTAAGTTCCGACGCACGTACAGAGTTGGTCATCGTCGATAATCGGCTTACAGCTACTCAATACATCGAGGAAGTTCTTCAGGAGCACGTAATGCCTTATTCGGGATTCATTGGACACGACCAATTCCTCCTCATGCACGATAATGCACACCCGCACGTCGCACATTGTGTAGAGGAATATCTGGAAGAGGTTGGAATACAAAAATTACAGTGGCCAGCTCGTAGCCCGGACTTAAATCCAATTGAGCATGTATGGGGTATGTTCAAAAGAAAGATAAAGTCCAGCTCCAAACCGCCACAAACTCTAAATGAGCTCCGAAATGCAGCGCTGGCCGCTTGGGACAGCATACCGCAAGTTGATGTCAGAAACATCATTCAAAGCATGCCAGATCGAATGCAAGCGGTTATCAGGGCTAGAGGAGGAAACACCCGATATTAAAACTGATAGACAATAAAGAAACAGACTTAATTTTTAACTTTGTAGTGTTTTTAAAGTGACAATGGAAAGATGTTAATTTTAGTGAAAACATGTTATCTTGAAAAGAAAAATTTCGGTGAAGTAAACATTAAATTTCTACGTTCTAAGACCATTAGAGACACTTATTGAATGCATCTACCCTTAATTTACTGTTAAAAAACCGTTTTAGTGCAAATAATCAGCAAATTCACGAGTGGCCAAGTTTCCGTGCCGGTGAGTGTAGAACCCGTATTCTAATAATAATACACATACAATAATACACAACAATTTCAAAATAATATGTTAATAAAATAATTCCCAAAAATTGAAAAGTATGAATTAAGTTGTAACACCACGGCCAGCCTTTAAACTATATTGTTACGAAACAGATGATCTTAAATTAACACTATGAGGACCATTGATAACATAAAATACATTTATTTAAGGGATCTGTTTGAATGTAGAAAGCCTAAAACGATATATGGAAATTCGTTTAAAAACTGAAGACGGGATATAACAACAAATAACAAGCAGAATAGACAAAGTCTTGTCATAATAAGACTTTAAAAGCAATATGATCATCTTTATTTGTCTCATGAAACATAGCAAACATACAATTTGGCCAAAACAATTAGGCGCATGGGAGGTATATGCGGTTTTGGCGCTGGCACCCCGCCTCAATCCCCGCGCTTCCCCTAGTGACCAATCACTGTTCTGTGTTCCCTCCCTAATTCTATGACGTCTCAGCTGTCTGTCATACACCTAATTATTTTAGTCACATTGTATGTTTTGTAGTGTGAGTGTCAATTCCTCTGAGAAGCATAGCAATTACTCGAAATTCTCCCATCAAACAAATCAAAATGACCCATGCCGATGTGAATAATTTACAGGTGATAAGGATAATGGGAAAACTGTAACTCTCTTATAAAATCACTCAAAAATGTTATGTAATATAACTCATATATGTAACATTTATAATATCAAATGAAACTAATTTTACTGATTTTATTTCGTTTAATTTTAACTTTTTACTTTCTGATATTTGGTGACTAAGGCATACTTTTCACCGTAGTTTTACAAAAAGCAATGAGGTCACAGTTCCATGCTAGATGAAGGTACCATAAACCATAGTTTTTTCAATTGTCCTAAACTATGCTTTTTCCTCTATGATTACTTTCTTCCTTACATATATCCCTCAAACCTCTAGATTTTAATTCTCTTTTAACATACACATATACTTGATTTTGAACATAAAACTTTAAATCCTTGACAATTAAAACTGTGTTTGTCTGTCATATGTTCTAAGGTAAATAGATAGATGTTTGCCAAAATTGTAGGAGAAAAAGTAAATTATTTATATTATCATAGACTCATAAACTCGTCAGTTTTCATTTTTCATTCATTATGTTATTAGCAAATTTTACCAAACTGCCACAAAAAGAAGAATAAGTTGATGGGGTTACGGTTTGCAACAGTGCTGCCAAGTATAGAGACTATGCCAAATCCTGCCTGTTATCAAAGAGAGCCAAGCATGACTACAGGCAATTACTGGGCGAATAAGTTACCAGTGAGCGCGGCAGTGTGGTAGAGGGCGGCGTGATGGCGGCGAGGCCGGGCTGCAGCGCGGCGCGGCGCGGGTGCGCGGCCAGCGCGAACGTGGCGCCGTCGGCCGCCAGCGCCACGTCGCTGCGCGCTACCAGCGCCAGCGCCACGCCCGAGCACGCGCCCCACACGCCCGCGCACACCAACTTGCTGTGTTGCTCCACAGCACCAAGCAGAGACCTGCGATACGACAAGTAATCCCTATAACATTGCCACAAATATGTTATATGTCACGCGTAATCATCTAATATTTACAATGTCGTACAGCCATCAAGGGGAAAGGGGCGTGCGAGTGTACAGTTTAGTATAGCAAATACGTCAATTCCTCCCTACTATTAGGAGCAGTTATATCATATGATAAAGATTACACATTAATGCGAGCAACTTTATATTTTTTTTATTTGCCGCAAACATTACAATTATTGCCATCGACCACTTCAAGTAGTGTCCACCATAAAAATTGAATGGTCATAATCATTATACTAGAATCAATCAAATTGTTATTAGCAATAACTACTTTTAAGATATATATTTAACATATACCACATATCTAAGATAAATTTATATATAACAATAATTTGTAAATAAAAATATTATAAAATAGATAATAAAAAAATTGTCACTACATCTGTTTTTAGCCTAGAGCCAATTTTATCACATTGAGCAAAGGATTGAGTTTGTGGTAAATTGAACAACTTTAGAACTATAATATACCTTTGTTCAGTTGAAAGCTTCTATCATGATTTGGAAATTAGAATAAATAAATTTCATCAGAAAGACACCAGTGATTTGGGTTAAAATTGAGTATTATATAATATATATTATTTATACCGCGTTTTCGCAGAGCTATTTACTGCTGCTTTCTTCTCTTGTTAAAAATTAAATCAGAATAAATGATGTCAAGCCACATTTTTAACCTATTTTATGGCAACTGTACAACCCATAATAGTGAATACACGTATTTATTTAAAGAAAACTATGACCAAGAGTGATTTTAATAAACTGGATAAGTTTGCTAATTGATATCCTTGCAATCGTGTGAATAATTTTTTATTAATTTATAATTATAATTAAATGATTGCTAAATATTAATATTAATACATCCTATCATGTATATGATATATAATTTTAATAATTTTTTATAAAAACTAACTAGGTAAATCTTGTAGGATCAATTTAGTAGATGGCAGATTTATTACAGAGTTTACAATTCATGAAATATTCTGATAAATGTCTATGGACCAAGGCACTGGGATCATCACTCTACCTGTTTATTGTATAACAAATATAGGTACAGCAAATATTTCTAAACCTAATTTTCTTATTGTTTAACATTAGGCTGTATCAGACTCATTATGACAACATGAAATACAAACTCTTTATTTTTCATTTCATAGAACATTAACAGTTTTCCTATATCCATTTTGCATTTTGCAATTTTCCATTTTGTTGTCACATAAATATTATATCATAATGAAATAACTACACAAACTAAAATGGAAGAACATACCTTACTGAATCAGCAATTTCAAATGCATTTGTGGCCCTCTTTTTCTCATCATCATCCAATAGTGGACTAAGGTCTAATAATGAACACAATGTGCCACATTGGGATGTAATCAAAGTAACTGATATGTCTTTTCTTTCATCAACATATATCAAGGCTTGTTCCAATTCCTTAAGAACCTATAAATATAATTTTTTGTGACTATATAATATATATTACAAAGTATTTAGAAAGGTATCTTTTACCAACATTATTGAACTTATTAAATATTACAATATGTGCTCATTACTAATTGTAATTACATCAGTTACTGTTTTAGGTCCTTTTTTATAGAACAAGGGTGAAAACAAACAAACAGTCCATCTAATGGTATGTGGATACTATGGCTCATAGACATCTAAATCTATCCTCGGTTGAGTATTCAAAATGCAGATGAGTTATTACCCCTGAGGACTAAAATGGTATGTCTCATTTCCAGTAAAAAGGGTTTCCCGCTCTCTACACTCATCACTTTGCTGCTATTTTACACTGATGTTCTGTGAGAGCATGGTCCTTCTCCAGTCGAGCCGACCAATTTTTGCTAGAACGAATACATAGCTGTAGTATAGTATAACAGTGGTGGAGCCACGCGGCAGCTTTTGCTGTCGCACGGATGGGCCGGCTCGAACCGGGATGGTACCACGACCTCACAGAAAACCAGCGTGAAGTAGAGGTTTACCTCTGTGTTTCGCTTGGTGAATGCAGGTGGCTGGAGGCCCTTTTTACTGGAAATGAGGCATTCCATCTTAGTCCTCACAGGTGACCACGCATCTACATTTTGATTTGTAATAGAGGATAGATGTTGATGTCGATGGGCCGCAGCAACCACTTACCATCAGGTGGACTGTGTGCTCGTTTGTCATCCTAACCTATAAAAAAAACCTAACAAGCAAAATCACTATTGAGGCAAATTATCTTTATTACAACAGTATACAATTACCAACCTGCCTGCTAACAAGTAATAATAAAAGGTGGGCAGCAGAATCCACCTGACAACAACTCAATGATAATAATATTAACACTTGCCAAATCTATCACCCTATTTTGCCTCATGGGTGTCTTAAGAGGTTACTTTGGAAAATAATAAGTGAACAGGCACCCAGAAGCAGTATTACAATATGAGTCAACTAGTAATGCAATTGACAATCTGCCATCATTACACTGAATATAAGTTTATTTTCAGAGCAAAACACTCAATTATTCCATCACAATTAGTCAATTGCCAAGGAGGCACTAAATATCTGCACAAAGACAGGTATTTTTGAAGACTATCCCATATCTGATGTAGTTTTATTTTAATATTTGAGGAAAGCTTAGGGTGCAATGTTAAGAAACGGGGTTACTAACAATAGAATTTTAAAAATCGAACAATTTGTTCTTTCTCTTTTAATAAATATTGTGTAAGATTTGAACTAGTCATGTTAGTTAAAACTTTAGAAGCAATGATTCCAGAGCATCTCTATCTTTCATTACTAGATATAGTTCTTTCTGAAAGTGTCAATTGACACATTTACTGTAGGATTTGCTTCCATACTCACAAAATGCTGGACAGAAAGTTTGCAGAAGAGAAATGTGTTAAATCAAAATATCCCTACACTTGTGGAACTTTTTCCACCATTAATTGGTTCCAATAGCAATGTTTATTAATAAGCAGACTGCCCCATGTGTAGGTGACGCTAATATTTGGAGGAAAAGTTGATATATTACCACCTCCTAGCACATGCATCCCACATACTTCTACATTCCATATTTTTACAAAATGCAGGAAGTCGATGGATGCAAGTGGTTCAGGACCGTGGTTTGTGGCATTCCTTGAGGGAGACATGGGCCTTTGTTGAACTGAATATGGGTTCAGCAGTGGACTTGTGAAGGGCTGTAATGATGATGATGATGATATTTCATACATTATATATTATTAAGCTTCGGCTTGTTGGCAAGAGTATCCTTGCTATTGATAAGTATACTAAGACTTTCTAATATTATTTCACTATCACTAGAGTAGTGTAATATTCAAACAAACCTCAATGTTATATTTGGGTCCTTTCTGAATAGTGATTTCAGCTAATCTTTGATCAATATTTATAGTTAAATACTTAAAATTAACATCAATATCTTTTTTTGATGTGAAAGATTCTTTGACTTTCTTTTGCTTTGGTGGCTTATCATTTTTGCTGTTTTCTCGTTTTCGTTTATTCAAGGCAAGGGACAATTTTGAGTTGAGTTTTTCCTTAATAGATAAGCAATTTTCCCTGTTAATGATTTCACTGTTAGTTATATTTATAGGATCAGACATAAATGTATCTGATGTTTGTTTATTATTGCCATCTGAAGCTTTGTTTCCCTTCTCTACTATTAGTGAAGTCCTTGCAGTGTTTTGTGTGACACCTGAATCTACATCACTAAGTCGCCTAGGACTCATACAAGTGCTGGAATAGGAACTAGACGAATGACGTCGATATATAATTGAATCATCTGCACTATGAGTCTCAAAATCCTCGCAAACAGATGGAGACTTCACAGAACTGCTTAAAGATACTCTATGCTTTCCACTTAAAATCTTTTTTGCCTCTCCTTCTTCATATTTAGATGATTCTTTCTTTCGTTCCCGGAACTTCATTTCTTTGCCATCAGGAGTAGAGCTTTGAATCTTTTTAATAAATTCTGCTTTAGTCCTTACATTTTTCTTACCCTTTGGTGCTTCTGGAGTTAGCTGGTATATCATATTGACAGCACCTTCATCCATCAGAAGCCTATCAACCTCTGATAATCTCTTATTTTGTTTTACATTTTTTAGTGATGGCTTCTTCCATTGCAACTTAGATATAGGAGACTTTGACTTAGATCTCACTATAGGTAAATCAGTCTTTCCTTTCTTATGAGGTGGAGACTCTTTTTCAGTGTTTATTTCCTTATTCTTACTTACAGCTTTACTTTTTGTAAATGTGTCAGGATTATCTGGATCAAAAATTACTTTTTTCTTAATGATTCTCCCTAGTCTTCTTTGTGGCTGACCTTCATCTCCACTCTTAGATTTTTGGCTGTGATCTTCACTTGTTGCAGAATCAATGGAAGTCCTTATAAATTCTTCCTTAGCTGTTACTGCTATTTGGACTTCTTTAAGTTCATCAGAGGACTTCAAAAGGGAGTCTGCCTCTTTAAGCAATTTCGCAGACTTATCTGTTTCTGAAGTTTCTTCATCATCCCAATCCTTTACTAATACATTAATAATGCTATCAGATTTACTTTCTTCTTTTTTACTTTCTTCTTTTCTACTTTCATCTTTCTTACTTTCTTCTTTCTTTTCAACTTTTTTTGGTTTTGATGTTTTTTCTGTGCTCTTTTTCTTTTTAATAGTTTTTAATCGTGTGAGTTGTTGTAAAGCTAACTGGGATTCTAAAGATTTAGAATTAATAGCATTAATTTCCATATGTTCAACTGCTTCATTGGCAGAAGATTCAACATCTTTTCCTTGCAAAATATCTAAAAGTTCTTCTTTGTTAAAGACTTCTTGCCGCCCAGCACAATTGTTACTTTCCACATGATCAGTCACATCAGATGATCTTAAGGCTTCACTTAGTTCTATACTTTGCCCTAATTCACTCAAAATATTATTAGTAGCATGTTCATCAGAGTTTGTCTCATTTAAGTCATTTTCATTAATATCATGATCATTTTTTTCAATTAGTATTTCAGTCTTAAACCTGACTTTATCTTTATTGGATGAATCTGTATGATTTACTTGAACTGCTAATATTTCGTTACTTAATTGAAACGACGATGTTTCTTCATTATTTACTTCAACTGATGATGGTTCTGTAGAAACTTCGATGATAGATTCAGTTGCCTGAATTTCAATTTCATGATAGATTGTTTTATCAAAGTCTTTCACTATGATTTCCGTATCCGGTTCATTTGTTTGATCAGTCCCTTTTTCAATATTGTGATCAGATTGGCTAGGACTATTTTCATTTAAAGCTACAGTGACAGAACCTTGGACAGCCGCTATTTGCTGTGACGTTTCTACCTCATTTGTTACCACAGTTACTTCGTTATTTTCTTCAAGCAATTCGACACTTTCTTTTGTAATTACAATTTCTGTTAAAACATTCTCTTCTCCAGCCGGTTCAGCTTCACCGTTCGATTTGTGACACACATCCGTTACTATACACTCTGCAGTTTCTTCGGTGACAACATTGTTTTTTACTTGATCAATAGATGCGTTTAATTCAAGAGTTTCTTCTATAACTTCCATTTTGCAACTTATTCCTAATAAATACTAAGATTTATAGATAAACTTTAAACAGGTTAACCTAATATGTTGATAAATAAATCAAATAAACGCAATGTTAACTTTAAAGTTAAAAACATGTCGAGGATTACATTATTCCACCATTAAATACATTTCTGTTTATAGTAAGCTTAATCAATTAATTGTAATAGAATTTCAACTAAATAAAACAAACGCTCCGCTTCGTCCACTTATGATTTTTTTCAGTGCGTCGTCGTCCATTAAACTTTTTTTTAAATTTATTAGGACATTTGCTACAAGGCCTTATGCCAATATGAAATCATTAAATACTATTTGTTACCATTAAAACATTCCACAAAATGTAAAGTTCATTTTGAGAATAAGATAATTTTGGGGCATTTTTGACGATAGCTTAAGCTCCTTAAGCCATCAGCAGAAAGTCGATGACAATGACAATAATAGTATCCCACCGTGTATCGGCGGGAAGTTTACCGCCTGCCTTGCTACATATCTATTTATCTATGCCGCCTGCAGATTGTTGCTTCAGTATTTTTGTTAAAAATATTTAAAAACGTCTGTATGTATGTATCTGAGCGCGATGGTCCCACGAGTTCAGTATTTTTCCCCATCCCAAAAGTGGCGAACGTAATAGAACCAACAAAAATAGAATGAAGTGAATTTTGATATGTTTATAAATGATACGATTTTGTGGATTAAAAGGTGTCCATGCACGTGAAATATTAGTGTAAATAACGAAATAAGTGTAAGATTCAAGTAATTTCGCCTGTATAGACGCTTTGAGATACTATCGTCATTGATTGTCTGCTGTGTCAATATTCGATATTGTATACAAATATTTTAATATTATATACAAGTTTTTAAACAAATAATTATTTGAGATAACTCTTATTTTATTCTTATTTGAGATACTGGCAAAAGTCACAACCGTACAAATCCACAATCAAAAAAAAAATAGTATGCTAAGTTCCAATGCGCTTAAATCAATCATTTAAACCTAGTAATCATGGTCATGCAACTTAGAACATTATATAAAGAACAAAATAATATTTTTCTGTTCTTCTATCCAAACAATTCAAAACCTAAGGCTATACCAATTTTAATCTTTATCTCTCAACTGTCAAATGTCTACGCAGTTAATGGCGGTTATACTTAATATGTATAGTATTTATTTCAGAATATTCCAATGTTTTGTGTTGATTTTCGTCACGAAAGCAATGTGTTTTTAAATGTGACCAATTTGTTAAGTACTTTTTTTATATCCACATAATTTTAATATAAGTCCATGACTGTAATATTAGTAAAGATCAAAGACATTTAAATATATTGGTATACTATAGAGCGGACATTGGGAACATTTATATACAAAAACTTTGAGCTAGTGCGCGTGTGGCACCCTCTAGCTAAAAATAGCAAAACAACGCTAAGCATTTTTTTTATAGGATAAGGGTGACAAACGAGCACACAGTCCACCTGATGGTAAGTGGTTGCTGCGGCTCATAGACATCTACATCTATCCTCTATTACAAATCAAAATGTAGATGCGTTGTCACACGTGAGGACTAAGATGGAATGCCTCATTTCCAGTAAAAAGGGCCTCCGGCCACCTGCACTCACCAAGCGAAACGCAGAGGTAAACCTCTACTTCACGCTGGTTTTCTGTGAGGTCGTGGTACCACCCCGGTTCGAGCTGGCCCATCCGTGCGACAGCAAAAGCTGCCGCGTGGCTCTACCACTGTTAAAAATTGCATTTATTAAGACAACATTTTAGCTATTCCCCAGTAGGTGACGCTAATAAATATAACCTAGTTTTAGGAATGTTATGATTTATGTTACGATATCAAAGTATCGATAATGTTGTTGAAGATTAATAAGTTTCAAATGGTTTTCGATATAATAATAGGGAATTTACATGATTGTTTTATTGTATAAATCTATATATCATGACTTCCATCACACGAAAAAAATCATATTAACTTTTTACGCCCCTTTTGTGTCATGAAATAAAATATTTAATTTCCAATAACTAAGAATCAGTTGAAACAGCAGTCACTTTGGTTACCACCTTGGTGGCATGACGTCATTCGGTCCATTAGCTGCTATAATGATAGCATATGATTGATCGGTCGGCGTTAAAGACACATCTAGAAACGCCAAATCCAATAAGAGAGCGCTTCAATTACAAAATATTTTAGGAAAACACTGAACTTAAAAGCCGTTTCACGATTTTTCACATTTCATCAGCTGCAGTACTTAAAGACACTACCCACATCAATAAAAATTGTTATTTTAAGTTTTTACCTTATTTTCTAACTTAGGCTTAACCTACAACTTCTTGCATCTAATATCTTTACTAGTACAAATTGTAATGGGGTTGTTATAAATTAATTTGCTTAATTCCGCGTAAAAAAAGAAATTGATGTGTCCTGCCCAGTTTTAAGGGGACCTCCCAACCTCCCTCAATCGCGCGCACTATACCCGTCGCCGTCAATTCCAGCACAACCACCCCCAGCACCACCACACAAGGCACGACACACCACTCTCGAAAATACGACACGTGTTTCGCCTCTACACGAGGCACCCTCAGGTGAAGTAGACTCTGCGGAGGCTGGCCGCTAAGTGAGCGGCGAGCCGAAACTACTGCTATTTATACTACTTGCTGACGCAACCACGCTCCAATTACGTAGAGAGCGATTACGTCATGCGATCAATCACCACCTAACGTACGCAGATATTTGCTGTGAAATTAACAACAGACTATTGCGATACGTCCGCCTACCCTCCAACCACGCAACCAATCGCTGGCCACCGCACCGTGAGGGTGACAAACAATCATGTTGCAAGGCTGTGTATCATCAAGGAGCAGGCTTAAACTTGTTTAAGAGAGGCGAGTTGGACACATTTGTTTGTTCATTCAGCAGTGCAACGTTACCGCTATTATTTTTTAATATCTCTAACTGTTCCAGCACCCCATTATAGTGGATTTCCGCAAAGTAACGCCTGATTCTATCAATTATAGTACAAATTGTTTTTAATGTAAGAAATCTATTGCCCTCTCCTATCACCGTAAGCGAGGATCTATAATGGCTGTGTCCTTTAAAACCACCAGGCAATGAAGCCCGGTATGTAAAAGAGAAGACTTGCTGTATTGCTAAACATAAACACAGCAAGTATCCTCAGCATGCTCATAAGCAACACAGAAAATCTCATCAGCATGCCTAAAAAAAATTCCCACCCTTGCTCCACATAAAGTAGGGTACTTAGCATAGTTGGTATATGCTACTCATTTATGTTGGTATGGGTACAGTATTGTTAACTGTTTTACCTCCTTAAATATTGTAAAGGATTAAATCGGCATCCTGTATATTTTTTTATCGATAATCCCAATCGATAACCGTCGTCAACCACTAACTTTAAAATTGGTAACTAAATAGTGACGTTTACTGGATAACAGAGGGCGCTTATTACAATAAAAATAAATATTCTAGAACAATCTACTAGAAATAATAAAATTTAAAGATTATTCGGTAAATATGTGTTATATTTACGATAATAAACCGAAATCACGTTCATTTTTTTTGCTCGATATCGTGACTTACTATATCTTAATGCACAACCGGGCATATTTTCTTTAAAAATATTTTTTAAATATATGATACGAATGCGTCTTGCTTTATGACGATGTCACTAAGACCAAGTGACAAAAATCGGAAATATATCCTATAGGACATAAGTTACAGACGATAATTTTGCTACAGATGTCCGGTCTATTACTACTACTACTTAAATGTCTTTGGTAAAGATGGTCAAGCAAACCCATATACACAATCCCATATAATCCCACACACTGTCTTAGCATAACAAAAGCTTTTTCACTTTTGCTTTACCTAGTCACGATTCTACTACCGGTCAGTCAAAGAGATTTAAATATATATGTATACTATAGAGCGGACATTATGAACATTTGCATACAAAAATGTTGAGCTCGCACGTGTGTGACGCTTTCTAGCTAAACATAGTAAAACTACGCTGTATATTTATTAAGAAAACATTTCTGCAATTCCCCAGTAGGTAGGTGACGCTAATAAATTTAGGGTAAAACCCATTTTAGGAATGTACCGTTTCGACATCAAAGTATCGATAATGTTTTGAAGGTTACTTAGTTTGTAATGTTTTACGATATAATAAGAGGGGAAATGCATGCTTTTTAATGTACAAATCTATTTATTATGACTTCTACCACACCAAAAAAATCATATAAACTTTCGAAGTAATGAATAACGTCATGAATGAAATTAAACGTTATAAAATAAAATATTTAATTTCCAATAACTAAGAATTAATTCAAACAGCAGTTACATTGGTGGGCATCTTGGATGACGTCACTAGGTCCATTAGACGCTATAATAATAGCATATTATTGGTCGGTCGGCGTCGAAGGCACATCGCGAAACGTCAAATCGAATAAGAGAGTGCCAACATATTTTTCGAATTCGTTTCTTTTACAAAAATACTCTTTAAATCTAACATATTTTAGGAAAACACTGAATTTAAAAGTCGGTACACGATAAATTATTTCACAAATTCTTGTTTTTTAAGCTTGCTCGTTTACCGTTAAAAAGAACACCTTTGTCGTATCTCCTCAATTTCAGAGCACTTCCTTTGTTGCCTCAGCCGAAAGCGGAATCTTCGGCGTCGACATATCGAATGACCTGCAGTAGCATGTTCAGTTGGAAGAGAAAGCAAAATTGGCTTCTAAAAAGCTTGGCGTACTCAGTAGAGCGGGACAGTATTTCATGTTTGCACACCGTTTGAAACTTTACAAGCGCAGGTTCGACCTCACATGGAATATTGTTCTCATATCTGGGCCGGAGCTCCCCAGGGCAAGCTCCTTCCACTTGACCGTATAGAGAACAGAGCGGATTGACGTCGACGACCAAGTTGTCTTTGACTGGCTCGATTCACTGGCGCTGCGTAGAGATGTT